AGCTTCACACAGAAGGTTGTAATCCTTTCTCATTGCATCAGGTAGACGCTCGATGAAGGTGAATACCTCTCTGTCCGAAGTGAGCCGTATCAGACTGATCTTATCCTCAACCGTAGCATTAGGATAATCCTTCAATCTGAATTCGAGATCTTTCAGGTACGCTTTTGTTCCAGTTGAACCCATCGGTCCAGGTACAAAGCGTTGTACATATTTTGAGAGTTTTAGCAGAACATCCATTGAAAGAGGAAGTTTCCATGCACTCTGTTGCATGTTTTGTGGAGGAGACCTGTTCAGGTCTGTTCCTACCACTTTAGGTGAGGGTGGTTGGATGAGTCTAAAAGCACCAGGTCTGTAAAAGATTTTTGGAGGTTTTGGTGTATTATCCCGACACTGTTCAAGGTCTTCTCTGGATTCCAGACAACCTCGCCCCACTTCAGAACTTTTATTTGTTGCTGCTCTTAGCTTCTCCTCACATGCTTTTAAGCATTCCTGGGAGGTTTGACATTCACTTTGTAAATGCCTATATAGCCCCAGTAATGCTTTTTTATCAATTCTGAGTTCTTCCAGATCTTTTTTAAGCACATCTATTTCACCTTTGCAGCGGGAAACTTGTGACATTTTCTCGTCGTGATCCCGTCTTAATGCAAAGTATTCACTGGACAACAGCTCTTTAGCATCCCTGGCTTCAGATAGTGATGCATTAAGTAACTGTATTTTGCTATTCAGCGAATCAATTTCTGCATTTGCATTTTGCTGTGATTGAAACATCTGTTCAGAATGTTTTGTCAAGAGGACTTCGTGTTCACTTTTAAATTGAAGGAAGTGTTCTTCAATTTTCTGAACCACCTCTTTTTCACTGTCTAACCTTATTGCAAGGTAGTCAGCTTTCTCAACAACCGTATAGAATGATTCTTTCAGCAACATTGCAATTTTAGCCAGCTTTTCATAGTTTGACATTTAAATTTTTGTAGAGGTCACACTCTCTGCAACCTCCTTCAGATTGTCCACTAACTCTTTTGGGTTCATGCTGTCCGCCTGTTCATGTCTATATGGATGTAAGGGTGCTGTCAGCAGCTTCAACGCATATTCTAAACAGCCCTTCATCCCATAAGGATCAAAGTCTTTTTCTACCACACCTGTCATGTTTATTCACTGTGTAGCACTTTATCTGGATAAAACAATTGCCAGCTTCAGATATTTTTACAGGTAAATAATTGTATTCAAATGTCAATGAGTTTCACACTATTTTAGCTTTGGGTTTACACAAAAGTACGTTATAAGTCACTTATTCAAATGTGGGCACCTGTCTCAGGTTTTACCCCAATTCATGAATATTTAAGTAAATGCTTCTATGGCAGTGTTACTTTTTATGTGCTTATTTCTTAACAGATACTAGTTACCAAGCTCTTTTAGTGTATTTTACTCTAAAGCACTGAATTTTTAATAAACCTGCAATTTTTCTAAAAAGTCTCACAGCAAATCAGTTTAAAGACACTTTTTAAACCGTTCTGTTCCAGAAATTTGCTATTTTACAGTTACTCATAGAACCAAGTGGTGAAAAGAAAAAGAAAAATTGATGATGTGTCAGGATTAATCAGTCTTTTTTCAGAAAAATTGTTATTACTCCTGTCCTCCTGTCAGTAACTTCTATTTAAAATTAAATAGGAAGATGTATTTGTTTAGGTGGTAAATAAAATCAGAAAAGTCTCTTTTTCCTGATATATTTACTCTTATTTAGTGATTTAGCAATTAAACGTGCATTATCTTTTAGCAAATGAGTAAACTTTTATCTCTGTGAACTTCTGTATCTGTCCTTTTTTTTAAAAAAGTTTCTAACT